ACATAACATGGAACGTGACTAAATGAAGAAGGTGCTGTTCTCACTGTCCTTTTTTAGTGTCTAACTGTACATACAAAATAGTTATGTGCTGTGCAGTTTTCTCTTACACTATTTGCTAAATGCAAGTAAAATGTAAAAAAATAAATGTCAGTTTACTCTCTGTAAATATTTTGTACTTGAGCTGTATCTCAAGAAAGAGTGTTATTTTCCTGGATTTCTTTTGGTTTGTTTGATGCTGTTCAGAACAACAGCATCATTAATTTGTTTGCTGATAACCCAAGGCAGAGGAGCTCTGCTCTACTCTATCTCTCTTGTTCATGCTATCTGTACTCAGGAAAAAATTGTATGGATTATCTTAATATAGTGGGAGCTTCCAATGAAATTATGGCATTGAATTGTAATCAGCACAAGATCTAAGACTATGGGAGACTACATCAAGAAACAGAAGTAAGCAAATACTGTTTGGTTGATGTATTTGTATCCAAGTGAAGACGAGGCACAACCTTCTGTTGAAGGTAATGAAAATAAACTTACATGTTCTACTAAAATTTTCATTTCAAAAAATATATTTAAAAAATGAGCAAATTATTGCATGTTTGCTACTGTTTTTCAGGTTTGTCTTAGCTAATGACTCTTAATTAAGTTAGATTCCAGAGACAAGGAGTTTAGAGTTCAAGGTGGCTTGACATGTCTGAATGAGAGGGAGATGTGTTCAGTCTTTTCTGGTCTCCTAGTCTCTTTTGGCTGACGTATACCTATGATAAAATGAACACTTCCACAGAATTTGAGCTTAGATTTCTGGCAGCGAACACGTAGTTTTCCTACTACTGCCTGAAGCGTTTCTTTTCGTATTCCAGTGTTTCTTTTCTGATTCAGGTGTAGGTCCTTTATGTCTGCCCTATTCTTACCTGTAAGTGTAGTTGTCAAAATCTCCGTACTTCATTTCCTGGAATGTTAGTCGCTTTCAAATGAAATAACTGAGTACCTTTTGAAATATTTTCCTTTTAGGGCTTTTGTATTTCTATCCTCTTGTAGATATTTTTTACCTCTTTATTCTTTTTCTTTTATCACGTCACTTGGAGTATTTTTCTTTTTACTCTCTCTAGCATTTTGTGAGAAATCTTGATAGCTTGATCCTTGATTCCATTGCCTTTTCTGGATAATCTTTCTTCAATTTCCATTTCTATACAGACCATGACAAGATCTTCCACTTTTCCTAAGACTATCCTCGTTGTCCAAAATAAAGTCTGACCCTTTCTTGGTGATATTTTGCAGGCTAATCTCTGGGTTGAAAAGTTCAAAAGGCTCCCTATCTTCTCCATCTCAATCATCCATCCATCTTTAGCTGCTATGGACAAAATCTTTGTTCTTGTTTGGGCCCTAGCTGCACCTTTGTTAGAGACTTTTACACAAATCCTCATTATCTTGGACACACCTGAATCTCACAATTCTTTTATTCTGCACAATTAATCATAAACACTGCCAAGAAAAAAAGCTCATGCCTAAAGAGCTCCTTTGTCATGATACCTGTTAATTGCATAGTACTGACTGTAGACAGGCTGTGTTTTGACCTTGTCTTTGCTGCTTTTTTTGTAATGTATCCCCAGGACAATCAGGAGGTGACAGTAGTTGCTGGAGACAGATTTGCAGTAGTATTTTTAAGAATGTAGTTAAGTTGTTTGCAGATCTGGTAAGTAGCTTGCAGCCAGTGTAATTTTGTTACCTGGTAAACACTGACCAAAGGTCCCATATTTGTCAATATTACAGCTGTTCCTATGTTACTAATAAATAAAATAAAATACTCCTTTTGATTTCTTTGCCCAGGGCCAGATACAATATTTCAGACACCTAATGTATTTGTCTTGTGTAAATCAGATGACATGAACAAAGCTGGCAGATCAACTTCATAAACACCATAGTTAAGTGTTAGACTAATACTGCAAAAACTGAATGAGTTACATGTCATGTTAAGCAGTTTCTGAAAGGTAAACTGTTTATTTGTTGGTTTAGGATGCTTCCTAAGTTTGTCCAGCAGTTTGGGTAGCAGCTTCATTTCTAGTGAATTTTAGGAGAAAAATGATTATTTGAAAAGTACCACCAGCATTTAGGGAGAGTGTGTGTGCATGTGAGCTACAGATTTTAAATGTTGGTGAAAATTTTCATCTTGCTCTTTGGCATTTCTACCCCTGTCACTGCTCTAGGGACTGCCTCTGGGTGAAAAAGGTGTGAGGCTGCTATTACAGTCTTCCCCTTTTGCCAAGACTTCCTCTTACTTTGTAGGAAATAGCCTTTGTACATCACGTATATAACCTGTAGTAACTTAGGAAAAGGACTGGTTGACTGAAATTATTTCTAGTCACAAAAATTCTACAGTGCATTTTGTAGAGATAAATCATATCTTGCAACAGGAATATCTACTTTGGCATGTCAGCACCATAAGAAAGAGCAAGCAGTGGTTTTCAGGTTGGGTTGGAGCTAAAAGGTACTTTCAATCTGACATGGGTCAAAAACTGAAGCTGGTTTTGTAAAGATGGTCATGACAGTGCAATGATATATACAGAAGAGAAATGGTACCGTGTTTCATTTCCACTGATGATAGTTCCAAATTCCTGAACAGTTAGCAACTTTTGCTAAAATGATTGTTATAACTGTATCTTCTAGGTAGTGAAGCATCAAAGTTAGCATCTGTAACTGAAGTGAGAATTTGCATGTCACCCTGTTAATGTTCTTAGTCTCTAGCTAGTTGTGGAAGAACTTCATATGAAATACAAAATATATATGTATATATAGAAAGCTTTCTTTGTATCAAAAGGATTTAGATTTTCTTTTAAAGTTAAACAAGTCCTCTTGTATACATCAGTGTTTTAAGTACAGCTCTGAATGTTATTTTTAACTAAGGATTTTGGGGATATTTCAGCTCACAAGATTCCATATGTAATTCTAAAATAAAAATTAGCTTCAGTAGTTGTCCAAATCATTCAATGTATATGCTAAAAGCACAACATAATAGAATGTTTCTACTGCTTCCCAGAAAATAATATCCAAATCATCTCACTTGGTCTTCAGATCGGGCACTATATGTCCTCTTCTAACAACACAGTATACACTGCTAAATAGAAGTCAGCAACTATCAAGCAGATCCATAATCCAAGGCATGAAGGAAGCCGACAGTCTTGCTGGCAGTGCTGCCTGTATTTTGCCCCAGCATCCCTGAGCGTGCATGTGTGTGTGTGTGTGTGCACGCACATGTGGTGTTAGGGGCCTGCAGTAAAGCACACTGCAAATAAAGAGAATACCCCACCCTGTTCTATATGAGATTTTCTGACTCATGCAGCTGCCATCCACATACTCCTGTAAAGTCTGTGATGTTTATCACTAGAATGTTTCTCTGTAATTTATGTTAAGTCAGACAGAGGTCAGTGTGCCCTGTCTGAAGCCTGGATTTGCACACCTCTGGCAGTTTTAATAAAAGACTCTCATCTTTTGTCATATGTAGGTTTACTCTTGCAAACTTGTGACAGGCTAAGCAAGACTGAAATGCATACTTGTTTTGTCACGTGAATTAACTTCTGAGCACAATAGTTCTGAGTAGATGTGTCATTTTTCCCCATTCCAAGGGCTATTTTGTGTTTTGCTTACTAGCAGTCAGCATATTATTAATGTCGGTTGTGAACGTGACTACAGGCAGAAGCACTGCTTCAGTGCCTCATAAAACTAACTGATATGAGATTACTTTGGACTACCAACACCATAAGTTTTCCAAATAATGTTTTCTGAATTTAGAATGCACGAACTAGTGTTCTTTTATCTGGCTTAAATATCTAGTGAGATTTTATCTGAAGAATATTGGGTAGTTCTGGGAACAGAGATAGAAATATTGGTGATAGAAGGGAATTGTGCCTCAAATATCAAGCAGAGAGGACAGTGCCTAAGACGTGTACCAGTATCTTCTGAAAGGTTTTTACCAAAACTGTGTAAGATCTTTTAAATAAGGAATTAATAGAGGCAACTGCTGCTCAAAATGACTGGTTTACACTGGCTACCTGTAGCAAACTGGTTTAAATGAGGATATTGTGTCATGCTGGTTGGGGAAGAGAGGAAATGGGAGCAGATGGCCTAATTTTTCATTTGGGTATGGGTCCTAAAACAGGAGTGAGGGTAACTGCGTGACAACTCTCATCACCCAACAGGTTGCAGAGTACTGAGCATTAGAGTGCCAAACTCAATGTCTATGCATACAACGCTGTGTAAGAGGTTACTGTGAACTTTCTGTCCTACCTGTGAAGGTTCAGGTATTGGTCATTGCTAGAAGCAAGATCACTGATTAGGTGGTCAGTGCCCTGGGTTATCCCGTCTTTGTGGTTCTGAGGGTCATGAAGAAACATCAGTCAATAAAGTCAAGAGCTGTCACTACTTTACAGGTCAGATTTTGGTATGCATCTGTATTTGTTTGACTTCCTGAGCATCAGTTCTGCCTTCTGTATGCCATTTGAAATCTGGAATTTAGATGATGCAAAGCAGCAGCATTTAATTTCTCAAGGGTTTGGCTGCTTTTTAAAACCCAGAACAAACATATTTCAAATTTTGTGTCCCTTTCCTAGATTGTTTGCTGGGCACTGGATGGAATGTTCCTACATACCAGCAGAGGACTTCACATTAAACATTCATTTTCAAGCTCTTTACACAGAATTATTTAGGCTGTAAAGGACTGCTTGAGATCATCTAGTCCTATGCCAAACTTCCTGCGTCATGCAAAATTAAGCTATAAATAGACCGATGTGGGCCAAATTTATTAGCAGCCAGTGCTGTATGCTTTTTCTTTATCAGTCTTTACACCGGGCTTTTCAAGAGGCACACAGTAAAAGAAGCTGTAATTGTAATAATTGCAGGAAAGTTTTAGAAATTATTTTTGAGGTGTCACACCCTCCTGAGAAGTCTTTTATTTGATGTACTTTCTCAAGTTTACTTAGATTGATTCAACAAAAATAAGATAGGCAGTGTATCAGTGACAAGTTGCTAGTACAAAGCATTTTGTACAATGAATTTGATGTTCACAAGGCCAGTTTTTCCTGCTGAATTTTGACAGCATATCAGAGTTTAGATGTGCAAAACCTTCTGCTGTTTCAGGGCTGGGTTCTTTGCTCTGGCGGTGAGCCTTGGTCTATTTCTGCTTTGTTAAATATCTTCCTCTTGCAATACTAGTTCAAAACATGCTTCAGGAGATCAATGTAGTAACTTGGATATTAGTTGGATGTTAATATTGAAGTTTCTGGCACCCATTTTATCCTTACTGACTCCTTGCTTGTGGATTTGAAATTCTCAGTAGTGCTCTTGGGATAATCCAGTCTGCCCAGTTGAGTATATGCATCATGAATGCTTTTTCTGCAGTGTGATAATGGATTAGAGGCAACACTTTTGGCTTGTGTGCAGTCTTAGGTACAGTCTTTGGTCATCAGGTTAAGTGGAGATCTCACAGGTATTTGGAATTGATGTCTTCTACTAGAGAGGATTTTTCAGTCTGCCATTTGCTGCAAACACACATGGAGTGTTGTCATCCCCGTGCCTGGTGAGCTACTGACACAGAGGAGGACATGGTGATGCAAATGGCAGGGGTAGTAAGGGGCTGCTTATTGTGGCCATAGTGTGGCCTAGTCAGTTGAAGCCAACTTACAAACTACAGCTGAACAAAAACACTTGCAGTCAAAAAAAAAAAGCTACTTCTATGGAAATAAAGGCACTTTACTGATGTCACTTAAGGACTAGAGTCTCTCTCCCACACCCTGACTAGATAATTGTCACTAGTGAAGGATACAGGCTTTTGGTTTGACTTCCTTCTGCAATACCTTTTAGTAGGTAGACACTAGTTTATACAATGTGCAGTACCCTTGCATTTAGGCTACCTGGAAGGATCTGCTGGAGATTTGCCACATTATTGCAGACAGTGCCTAAGATTGCAGACATGGTTCCTATCAACTGGGAAAGAATAAGTTAGAGAATATTTGGTTTACATTTGAGGAGTGATCATTCACCAGCTGGACTGGTGACTCCAGCTGCAATGTTGTTAGTAGTCAGTATAGGCAATATAAATGCAATAAAGCATGTGAAGGAAAGAAGTCTGCTTTGTAATCAGGCAGCTTTTAGAGATAGCATTTACAGCTAATGTTAAAAGGTTAACCACAGACCTTGTGTGCTGGAAGTTGATCACTTCCTGTGATAGTTTATGTTTTAATGTGTATTAAACAATACCAAAAGCAGCGGTTTTCACCACAAGAACACTGTGAACTCTCAGACTTTCTTACAGGCCATCCAAAAGAAACAAATTTAGTATTTTCTCTTAATGGTGGTTCCTAACACTGTTTGCCAAATGCTGCCCAGTTCCAGACTGAGGTTTGGGAATCAGCGCTATAGAGAGTCATTGAAAAAATGTTAGGAAGATAGTGAGCCTGAGTCTGTAATATGGAAATAAGAAAACAAATCCAGACCTGAGGATGTTTGACCTAGAGAAGGATTCTCTGTTATCAAGGATCACAGGTGTTACTAGATGGCCAGATGCATCAGCCCCTAGCTGCTCTGCTGAACTGGATGCTGCCCCTGTCTTGCATAGTTGACAGCTGTAAGACTATGATGTATAATTAGCAACTTCCCTATATGCAAGTGACCTGATCTGTGTCTCTAGGCCCAAGGAGGGCTCTGAAACACCCACTGTATTTGTTCTATTTTGGAATGAAGGTGAATCCTTTGGCAGAGACCCAGTGGAAGTGTCAAAGATGGTCACTTCCTGCACTGCCATCAGTGAATGCTGCTAGGGGCTTTTTTCCTGCAGGTCATTATTTCAGAATCAGATGTGAGAAACTATTTCTTTCCTGCTTCTCTGTCAGCCTCTTCTAAGAAATGCCTGGCACTTGGCAAGTTGGTTTGGCTTTGCACATCAACCTTCCTATTTGAAGCTACATGATCTCAAAATGGTGGATGAGAAGGAGAGAGAGCGAGCAAAATTACACATATACTTACCCTTTTGTAGAGCTGGTCTCAGGCTAAGATGAAGGGCTTGGGAGGTTTGAGAGCTCCTGGGTGCCTCCTGCATTCTTTTCCTATGGTGTCATTTCCTTTCAGCAGTGTGTTCAAGCTCACCTGGGTGTGTTCACAGGTAGCCAGACTAGTATTGTGAAAGAGAAATTAGACACTTAACCTTGGCAATAATCAACTCCCATAGCTTGTTTGTACCTCTTTGTCATGCATTTATTGTCCCTTGTTTGCTCACTTCTAAGGAAATTCTTTTTGGCATTTTATCAGGTTTTCATGAATCTGAGCAACTGCAGAATTAAATTGTGAGGCTCAGATGCAGAGGAGGGATTAGTTGCTTTCTTTCCTTGGCAGTTCACCTGTACAAACATGTATTGGGGATGGGTGGAGCTCAGTGGTAATGATAGCGTCTTAGAAACATAATAAACAGGTTTTGTGTAGTGTTTCTTGCTAAGAGACTGCTTGAAAATCCCCTAATCCTGTCTTCCAGACTGATAACCTTCTTGTCCTCAGCAGAGCAAGGAGAACTGGGTGAATTGCTTTGCTCTTTGTGTAATGAGTGCTGAGCCCTGCAAAAAAGTAACTGGTATCTCCCCATGCCAATACATGTCAGGGCAAATAACCCCAAGAACAAGCCTGGCTATTTAACTGTTGTGCTCCTTGACAGAAAATGGTGAAAGCCATCATCTTGAATGCACGAATTCTCTTGATTATTTTAATCCTTATTAAAAAGGGTGTCTTTTCCAGGGTGACTTAACTAGGGCCCCTTGCTTTGTATGTCTTTTCTGTGTACACATAGTGCTTTGCAAAACATTGGTGCCTGCTTAGCAAAGCATTGCTTGCCAGCTAATAAAAAGAAGCAATTCACAGCTATTGAGTGTTACTTAATCATGTTGGAGTGAGGCTTGATCTACGTGATTTCAAAGAAAAAAAAAAGTGGAATGTCACGTATCTGGTTCCTTTGTGTACACAAGAATACTTTTCTTGCCTATTTTGCCTTAGGGGCTATATCAGAAGCCAGATTTGGGTCTGTGTTGAAGCACTCCAAATTGACTTGACTTTACAATCAAGTTCTCCTTATCTTCTGCAGCAGTGAATTGCTTCTCTAAAATTTCCCATGAAAACATTTTAAGAGAGCTCAAATGTACTTAGGCTGAAGTTCCAAGGAGCAAAGTAAGATGATGTACTAATCTTTTAACCCGGTGCTTTCCTCTTGTGACATACCTTTCTGTAGTTTCTGTGTTCCCTTTATCTGGGGAAAAAAAAATCCCTGGATAATCTCATCTTCTCCCCTTTGCATTGGCTTCAGTGCTTTTCTAGTCTTCTGCTGAGCCATTGTATGCATGAATGCAGAAGACAGTGCATGGAACAAAACAAGTGATTAATTTTCTGAAGGGTTAGCATGCTGGAATGGCTCAGTGCAGGGTTCAGTGAACAGAGAAGTTAACATAAGCAAGTGGAAACACTTGAATAGGGATCATGGGAGGAAGATGTCCAGCATTTAGAGAGCCCTGAAAGTTGAAATTGATTCCTGATGTGCCTGTTGATGCTGCTATCAAAGATGCTATTTTGAGATTTCATTTTCCTGTGTGAACATAGTGGATTTACTGAAACTGCAATCAGACAGTCCTGTACTGTTTTGAAATGCATATTGCTCCATATGGTATCTTTTTGGTGTCCTGAATAATACTATTTTGATTTCATTATTGCTGGTATTTTTCAGACAGTGTCAGAGAATTTGGGTGACTTGTAGCAGTAACCTTCAAGATCAATAACTACAGGTAGTTCTGGTATTGGTTGTGGAGTTAATTACAAAGGTAGATATTAGCTCCCTTCCCTGTGCTGTGCTTCTCAGCCCCTTCAATGTCAGCCCAATGCCAGCCCAAAATAGTTTACTGAAATAATCCAGGCTAAAAATAACCTTCTGCAAAAACGTGGCATGAGACAATAATGAGTAGCTGAAGGTAAGTAAAGCTGGCAATTTTTCAAGCTTGCTTTGCTGCTGAAAAAGAAGCAGCATGTAACTGCCCCTACAGTTGGTTATTCCCATCCATAAGCAGTGCTGAAATGGCTGTGGCAGTCTTTATGGTGTCTTCACCTAGTGCTTACTGGTGTCCTCCAAAAGGTCCCTTCTGTGATACACTTCTCCCCTTTTGTGTTCAGTTTAGTTGGTACAACTCTTTTGAAGGCCACCTGTGAACTGGGAAAAGAAACATAAATGAATTTTAAAAGCCTTTCATTTAGAAATGAAAAGAGATGGGGTTAGTTTAAATTTTGACCAGTTTCCCAGCTTGGCACATAGTATTGCAGAAATAGTACTGATGTGAGCTGCTCAGGTTGTCAGTGCTGCACAGGGAAACATCTGTGGAAGCACTGCCTGAGCCTGTGAGGGTGTTTGATAAATGAGGAGGTCCTAAATTGATGGAATCGTATGTTAAAACTTAAAAGTATTAAAAGCATACAAGTAAAAGTGGTATACTTGACTGTATTTTTACCATTTACTACCTGTAAAAGATCTTCTGTCAGCCAAAGTGCTGTGCACCCAGTTTTACTTAAGTCTAGCCTAAGTTATCTGAACACTTCCAGGAGTGAGGCATCCGCAGCTTCTTTGGACAACCTGTTCCGGTGTCTCACCACCTTCACAGGAAAAAATTTCTTCCTTATATGTAATCTAAACCTACTTTCTTTCAGTTTAAAGCCATTGTCCCTTGTCCTGTCACTAAAATTCCTTATAAAAAGTCCCTCTCCAGCTCTTTTGTAGTACCCTTTAGGTACTGGAAGGAGCTATAAAGTCTCCCTGGAGCCTTTTCTTCTCCAGGTTGAGCAAACCCAGCTCTCAGCCTGTCTTCCTAAGAGAGCTGCTCCAGCCCTCCCATCATCTTCATGGCCCTGCTCTGGACTCGCTCCAGCAGGTCAGATCAGAAATTAAAGAGACAATTAAGTGCAGCATTTCAATTGTTAGACTGGAAAACCAGACTTTCACTAAAAACTCTTCTCTCACATCTAAACAGTAATTATTTTAAATTGCTCTTTTAATAAAAAGACATGTTTCTGTAAGTGCTGCAATTACTCTGTGTCCAAATTCTGCACTCAAGAAAAGTAACATTTCCCATGAGCATGGGTGTTAATTGTCTTCTATCCATGTCTTGGTAACATTGCCTGCTGAATTTTCTCAGGATTTCATGTGTTTGTAACTTTCTTAATTTCTGCCTTAAACTGTGTTGTGATGTTTATGACTGTAAATATGCAGTGCATTGGCTTCAGCTTTGTTTCATGACCGTTTCTATGGATTTGTGTTTGTTTAAAACAGTAAAGATTGACTCGACATTACTCTGAAAATTATTAACAGTCTGTAGGCCATTACATTATGAAGAAACCAAAGCGCACTTTGAGAGCATTTACTTTTTTCTCTCAGCATTGCTGAAATACAAAATACAGCTGTTCAGCAGTGCACATAATATTTGCTGGCAGTACCAGATAAAAACAAACAATACAGGAGAAATGCAATTATGAGAAGAGCCTCAACTTTCTTTTTAATAAAAAAAGCTTTTTGTATCTCTGCATACGGCTCATAATAAAAAGTATTAGTGTTAAAATGAGATAAAGCTGAGCATCAGAATTTTGTGAACTGCTCATAACCTCTCAGTATTGCTGTTTTCTAGTATTTTCAATGTATTAATTATTAATATTTTGTGTGTATCTGTTTCTCGAGTCAGTGTATGTCCCTGAATGCCTATGCTTAATACTTCATTTATATATCTAAATCTGCAGTGCCCAGTTGATATTCACAGGATATATAAAATGGAAATGTTGTTTTAACATTAATTGCAAATTGTGTTGCCTTGTCCATTGTTTTCCACTCCCACATCAGCTTTTTCTGCATCTAGGTTAGATAAGCACATGGTGGGGATGGTCAATGTAGGTGCTTCTCCTTCGGTTGGTGTCTTGCATGCCTCTTTGTGAGTAAATATAGAAACCAAAATTACTTTTATGCAGATTAATTTTTAGAGACATCTGTGAATAAATAAATGGCAAATGATGTCCTTTAATTGAAATAGTAAGTAAAAATACCTTAAGCCTCCAGAAGCTGAGCTTTTTTTGAGAGGATTGCCTTTATTACTGTTCCAGGTCCAGCTGAATCAGCTGTGATGTGCATTTGTTCTGAGTACCTGTCTCTTGTAGAGAGAAGTCTGTTAAGGTTAGAAATCAAATTCTTCTCTATTATACCAAACGAATTGCTGCTTTCTGCTTTCCAGAGGAACTACTTCAAAACAAAAGCAACCCAACTCACAGGGAGTTAAAATATTTTTGTCTTAAGTCATCATGTCTGGCCGAGGAGTGACCTCAGTCTTCTCCTGCTCTGAATCATTGTTGAGAACCCACACGGTCTAAATAGACTGAGTTACGTTTCAGTCCCAGAAACTGTTTGTCTTTTCATGTGTCCTGGCTAAATGAGTACAACCTTGACATTGTTAGAAAGGGCACAGCTACACCCAGGTACTGTAGGTGTAGTAGCAGATTAACCACTCTAACTACTTTCATGTGTGCAATCTTTCTAATCTTGATCAGGTGGCCACGTTCCTTTTCTCCTGGGGCACGTAGGCAGAGCTTGACTGCTTTTTTAATCCTGAGGCTGTTTTTATGGTGGTAGGTGCAGACAAAAAAAAAAAAAGTTTCAAGGAGTTAAAGTATTGTGTACAATGTGGAGAAGGTTAGGCTGCATTTATAGGAAAACCCACAAACAATATGTTTGAATTAAAGGAAATTATTAAAGTGATGCTTCAAGAAATGTCTGAGAGCAGTGCTTTTCATACTTGCTCAACTTAATGTAAGGCATGATGTAGTCTGTTTGACAAAACTAGCACAGAGTTTCTGGCAGTAATACTTCAGAGGGAGAAGAGATTCTGAAAACAAAGAAATTTTCCTGAGTGTTGTATTCTTGCATTTATAACCAAAACCATAAGTTGCACAATTACAAAACTCGGTGGTGAAAAAGCTAATAATGCCTTCCCTTACTGTTAACCATTAGGGTATGAATGAGAACTTGCTTTCTTTTAAAAGCAGAAAGGAGAGCTGGTTTCTTCTGGTACTTGCGAGTTATAGCAATCCTAGTTAGGGTGTTTCAACTTAGCGAAGAGTGTATATTTTGGGCTTATTAGTTTTGCTTTCTGTTTTGCCAGTAGAGTTTAAGAAATTCATTAGTACCTCCTTAGTAGCTTCCAGCTTTTTGTTTTCTACAGGTTTATGATACTCTCACCTAAGTTTCATTGTCTGTGAAAGGTAATAAAAATTACTTGAACAGCTTCATTTTCTTTAACTAGTTTTCCCGAGCTTATGGTTTCTTGTAATGCAGCTGTGCTCTATTCTTCCTAACTTACTTCCTCACTTCATGACCTAAATCCAAAACATATCCAGGAGCTCTAAGATACAGTCTAACTAGCAGTGCCAAAGTCTAGTGAAGGAGTCTGTTGTAATGTAACATGAATATATTAACTGAATAGCTCTGTACTGTGTGAAGTAAGGCAATAAAACTATAGTTTTATCATGCTTGTAGTTTAGAAGAGTAAACATAGAGCCTTCAATTTAGAAAATAACAGAGATCAAATACAGTAGTGGTTGCCATTGGAGCTGCTGTGATGTTGCTTCTGTCATGTGAAACAGCTACCTTATTATACTCTTCTGCTTTATACTTACACTTTTTTTTTATTCTCGTGATATCTGAGCACTAAATGATGTTAATGCCAGTAAGCTTTTAAATGCTGTTACTGACACCTGTTTCACGTGACTTATTCTGTTCCGTATGTCGGGCACAAAAATATTTTTTCCGGTTTTTGGTGGGCTGGGTTTTTTTGTTTGTTTGTTGTTGGAGTTTTTTTTTAGACATCATCTATTTGGGAGTAATCTAATAACTGTTTGTATTAGTGATGTCTAGCAGATACTCTTTATACACATTCAAGTGTAAGACATTCCTAAGCCTGAAATTGTAGAAGAAATCTCTGCAAGAGCTGTAACCAGACTGTGATTCTCATGTCCCTGGCACTTTTGCAGTAAAATGGACAGCAAGGAACAACAGAGATAAGTGGAAATACCTCAGGATCGAAAGTATCTCTTTATAAGCATACTTTTTTGCTCAGCAGGGTCTGAGAGACCCCAGTGCTGGCCAGCCAAAAGGCTGTAGTACAGTGCTGATGCAGAAGTGTCCAATGATCTCTGAGACAGTCCAGTAGCATAATATATTTGCAGTGTGGAGTTGGGGGTATTTCTGGGAAGGGAATTGGCATTGAAGTGCAGTAATGTGGATTATAAGAAGTTTTCATTGGGTCTCCCATAACCAAATCAAATGCAGCTTTCAGTGTCAGAGATAGTAAAGATAAAAGCTTTATGTGTATAAATAAAAGATCTGAGTTTATCTTGTGCTTTTTGGAAGGTATTCATTGTCATTAGCATTTAAGAACGTTGTCCTGTACATTTAGTCTGTTAAATAAGAGATCACTGGGAGCAGAGGGGTGGAGCAGCTGACTAGTGAAATTCTGTCTGTTTTGCTTCTCAAATAGCAGATCTCTTTAATACAGTCCATGTGTTCAGTCTTGCTTGCCTCTAGGTGGTAGAAGTAATACCATACTGGGGGAAGTAATCATTTGCAAATAACTTATTATTTTGCAATTCAGTACTAAGAGGTATGTGTAGGGTTAGCTAAAAAGGACTCCTTGCCTTTGCACTGGGAACAGAAAGCTGTAATATTGGGGGTTACTAGTTTTGATTTGATTTCAGTGCTCTCATTTACTCAGTGATACAATCACCCTCTTTGTAAATGCAGTTCATGCATGAATGGAAGCGTGAACAGGACCGAAAGCAGGTGTTTGTGTTACAGAGGGGAAAGTTACAATGCTATTTATAGGCTATTCATTTATTATTTAAGTTATTTGAAATTGTTTCATAAGATAGAAATTGAAGTAGAAAACAGTGAAGTCTAGCTTTATCTAGAGGACTGGTCTCAGCCCTGCTGCAAACCTGCACAATTAAACAGATGTTCACAGGAGATTAATTGTTTCTTTTATTACTTTTTGGCTTACTTAGGATCTGATTCTGTCCCTTTTGTAGTGCCTTATTCAAGCGTTAAAGTTAACCGTGGATATTCTCCATAAGCTTGTGTGTAATGGAATTATTTGGCATGCAAAATACTCCTCAGGATTGTGGAATTGGGTCCTTTGGTGCTATAGACGAGGAATCACACAGCTTGCAGACTTCTGCCTGTGAACATTAGCACTGGATAAGCACGGCCAGCCAGTAAATAGATTTGATGTCTTTGCTTGTCCTATACTAACTGTCATGTCTGGAAATACATGGGGTGGGTGATACTTTGGTTTGTTCTTTGTTGTCTCCTTTCTGTCTCCTTTAGCTTGTTCGGTGAATGTATGTGCCAGAGTGAACCTCTTCAGCCAACAAAAATGTGGGAAACAGATGAGTAAAATTTTAACTGATACATATGAGTACAACATGGATAAGAACTTTGTTAGAACCATTTAACTAACAGCATCGATTCCTTTTTTCTTCCTTTTCTTTTTTTTTTTCTAGAAGGGGGTGGTTGGTTTGGTCAGAAAATTGACTAGAACTTATATTAACTTATATATCATGTTGGAAATCACGTATGTTTGTTCGACTTACAGAGATAAGTTTTTGTGTAGATTGGATCAGGAGGACATGCACAACTTTAAGAAAACAATAAATTCAGATTGTTCTTTCATGAATTAATATTTAATTTTCAAGTGAAAAATTGTTTCATTACTGGTGTGATGTCAGATGTGACTCCATGTAGAATTTACAGCCTGATGGTATTTCGACAGGCCATCTGACCACATGGATTTGTAAATTGAATATATTAGACAGGAATCATGAAGGGAAAAAGTGATGGAGCCTCCTCATGTCACTTATCCATTTGGTTTTCTGATAGAAACATTAGTTCTAAGATACAGCTAGGTTCAAGAGGGGAAGAATAAGCCATCTTTCCTAAGAAGTAGCTTTTAGATTCTGAGAAGCACATCTACTTAACGATGAGAAAGAAAGGCATAATTCTCTACATTAATGTAACTTCCCAGTATAAAATTACTTTTAAGGGATTGTTTGGAAAGCTGGTTAGCATTGCAGTGTGTTATTTTTTAAAACCCTGTTCCTATGTGCTCTGCTTTCCATGACACTATTCTTTAGGGACAGCACATTTGTTATAGGAGGCTGAATTGTTTCCTTTTGCAAATCCTTACAGGCTCTGAAACTCCCACTGGCTGCTGTCCAGAAAGAAAGATTTGTGGGTTCTGCCCAGTGTCTGCAAATGTGTGATGATATTTATATTCCTTGAGTTGTTTTCACTGTAGCTAGATCTGGTAAAGCACTTGTGGCTTTACTGCAACTAAAAGACTTGTGGTAAAGTCTGAGAACTTAGAAATCAAGTGTTGTGCTTGAAGAGATGTTCTGACTGCCACTGCATCCCTGGGTGGGAAGGGAGATCATCCTAGTTACACATAAGCTCTTTCAGAGACGGGCAAAGTCAGCAAACCTCTAAAAAAAGAATTAAAACTTCATTTTTTTGGAAAGCATAATACTATTTAGTGTGAACAAAAAGCAGAATATTGTCTCAACTGGGACTTCAGAAGTGATTCACAATTATTTTATTGGTAGAGTCCTTAAAATCCAGTTCATTCTGCACAGCTGTACAGTTGTGTTGACTCAAAAGTCTTTCACAGATGGGACTTTTGAAAGAAAAAGCTGCCTTTTTCTTCTTATATTTTTCTAAACTGGTGACAACAAAGAGAAGGGCAGATGTTTCACTTCCATGTGTACTTTCATGTTTTCTTTCTCTTTTCCTCTGCAAGAAGCTTCCACTAAAAAAGGGGGGGGGGAAAGAAAAAAGACCAGCGACAAAAGCTCTTTGTTCTGGGAAGCATTTCCAAACATAAAAACAATACCAATGTAATGCTTTTATAGAACAATTTTTGGTTAAATTTTCAGTAATTCACTTGATCTTCATTAGAAATGTCTTCATGCTATTTACTACTTCCTCCAATAGGGCTTAATTGAATGGTTCTCTCAGATTTTTCCATATGGTGTTCCCTCCCCTCCCCTCTCCTCTTTATATAGCATAAAGAAATGATGGTCATGGCCCCTTGAAACTTTGTCACCTATGAGTTTGAAAATCTACAGAGTAATTGGTAGATTAGCATACTGTGCAGGCTTGGCCCTGTTCCTGGCTTTGCTCTATGTTTTCTGTATAGTCTTAAGTGATAGCAGTGGTCAGTCTACCAGCAGGTTTGCTAATTTCTGAAGCAATACATATGATGACCTTAATACCAGTGACTTCCATTTCTATTTGAAGTCAGTAAA